TTGGTGCATAAAATCTTATCGAGAAATACTACTAAACGAATTGAGTATTTAGAATCCTTCCTTTTAGGCTGATTCGTAAGTTTCATCTGCCAGATCAGGTAGTTGTAACACCAGACGGCTATCCCACTTGTTTGAAGCTGAGTTCATCGGTGGTGTACTATGAAAAATTTAGTTCACATAGCCAAATTGTTTACATCAGTTTTATTGACTCATGCTACACCTAAATGTTTGCCTTTCAGTGATTTATGGTCGTAAAGAATAAATAGTTTGCGGTAAACAGCCTATGGTTATCTTCTACCACCAACTTATTTGACATATTTCCATCCATGAAGGTGAACTCATTAATGCAACTCAGGCCCTATTGATGAATTTGACGAAGCGCCCCATTGTACAGTCCAAAACAAAATGCTGAACTCACTCCGCTTGAAAGAAGTGTTAATCTTAGGCTGAAAGACTTTTGACAAGTGCAAAGTTAGTTCAGCTGCACGTTAAAAAACGTTTTGTTAAAGTACACAACGATATTATTACTATTCCTCTGGTCCCTCAATTTTTTGTCTAAAGAGTCTATCCGCATGCAAAATCATTTCGAAAATCACCATTTGTAGCGAGATCCGAAGATGAGCAACCCAACTGTAATAAGTGTCTTCGAAATTGTATTGAAAAACGCCTTTTATAGCATATGCAAACAAGATAATTTCTATGCAGCTATGGTAGACATTTGCTTACAAACGAGGGAAAGTGATTATCCGATCTTTTATATCTTTTTTCCTTGTAAACAATAAAAGTAAATATTTTTGGGCATCAATCAACTGGAAAGTAGCTCAACAATTATTTGAATATGACTTTAAATTTTTACTTCAAAAAAGTAGGAAACAATGTGAACTGCATGGAAAGAACAGAATTTATTAAATTATAGATAACTGATGTTTGGTGCATTATCAATGAATATCGGATCCGTAAATACGTTCATATTCTATGATTGAAAATGCCTCAGGATTAAGTTCTTCCTTTCATGTCAGTTAAGAGGTGATTGTTTTTAATTTTCTGTACGCAACAGTACAAATGATTTACATAGTGGATGAGAAACAATAACCTATATTAAGCAAAATGTATTTTTATTGTCTTTGAAAAACGTTTTCCGCTTCCTGTTTCACCATTCACTAATATCTATTGACTTTTATGGTCTACTGAATTGGTAAGGTATTGTGAACATAACATTTATCGTACAGCAAAATATTGATCTCTATTATTATATCTCCGTAATGTAGAACGTAATTCTTGCATATTGTTTATGTAAATGAAAGCTCGGGTTTACCGAGAAAAGAAACCAATGTAACTTTTACGACGCCACATTATTATACATGGAGAAAAATTATCGACTAAGATTGCAAGAAATTTCGTTAACTTATAACGAAATCCCTGCACAAATGCACACTTATGACTTCAACTTAAGACACCCAAAGGTTTTCACACAATGTGTAATTCTGTTTGTTAGGCGACTTAACCTTTTCATGCTGATCTTTGCATAAGCTTAAAAATGTGATATCTAAACTATAATTGAAGGGAAAATAATCATTCTCCATCCAGCCAAGACCTGACAATATGAATCAGTGTTAAGGTGGACTATACTATTCCTGTTATCATGTTGTCTTACTAATAAAATATATGCTAATACTGAACGACACGATAAAAGGTGAGTAGAGAGAACCTAAAATACATTACCATACTGGAAATACTTTAAGAACTTTATTCGCAATACTCATATCTTAAAGATCACTCAGTAGGTAAGTGGTGACGACATGTATCCGCCTTCCCCGATAACTGCTAGTATGCAATAATACGCTTATGAACTAACCTCAGTAAACGAAACGTCTACTGAAAACTTTGTGCGAAGTTAGACTTAAGTGCAGGTAATTTATTTTCAAGAAACGAGCCATACAACATAGCCTTTAAAAATAATGCGAATCTCCAAAGCCTTGCTAAGCACACAAGTTTTTAGAAAAAATACTTGAACAACCCAACACAAAAGGTATTCTTTTGAAGTCTGTTTTACTTTCACATGCTGAAAGCCCGGTCAATAGAGCTTACACAGATGTTTTTCACGTAAATATTTCTTGGTTCATAATAGTTATACAAACCTGTACAAGTTACTTTCTTATCTACATAGACTTATTCGAAGCCAGTTAAGTGATTGAAGTCAAAGTGTATAACTTTATTGATTATTCCGTGATTTCTGTACACAAATATTTCAGTAATTACTTCATATGTATATATATATATATATATGTTAACTGTTACACTAAAGTTCCTTAGACTTTTTCACATCCACTTGTTTTAAAAACAATTAACAAAAAATATTTTAGTGATATCCACGTCTCAGTGATATGCAGTTGTTATATGACCTTCTTAATTATTTAACTTCTCAAAGTCCATGCAACATATGACGACTGCGAAATTTTTCGATATTTTATTCAGCAAAGTAAACATCTCATTACAATCATCATGTCTTTGAAATGAGTTAAAATGCTTTGAACAATATATCATAGAAATTCAGTCTGTTTTTCTGAAATTTGATAGATAATAATTCAGTTAGAAACAGATCATTTCTTCCTGAACTGACTAGTACAAAACGTATCCAAAGCCTACTCTGTGGTTATCATTTCCAGCTTCCAGTTTCTCAACATGCACTGACCTAAATTTCAATTTTTCATCGAAAAAGTTACTAAGTTTGCCTAAAATTACTTACAAATATATTCATATATATCTTTGTCAAATGTGATTATTTTTCATTTCTTTTTCTGTCAATTTTCAAATTTCGTATCACTCGCAAATTATAGTATAAAAAAACTTGAAAAAACGGTTTCACAAAATCAATCCAAAATTAGTTTTTCTCTCTCACTTCTTGTCACTTTTTGTTATCGTTATCGATGGCACTTGTTGTTTTCTTTCTTCAGATACAGGTCTTCATTTCAGTAATAAATAAAGTGTTTTGTTTGTTATAAGCATCATCAGTAAGGATGGAAATATTTTTTGGTATTTTTTTGGATTTAGTATCCAAAATGATGATGAGTGAGATATCACATTACCCGTTTTATTTCAAAAACAGTGTATAACTTTAGTTCAGTTTTCAAATGTTTCTGTTAGCCTTAGCGTAACTAATTCCATATCAAACTGCACTAAGTAGCTAAAGGCTCAATTGTACATCACGCACATGCTTTTCACTGACAGGAAACTGTCGATAGTAAGTGCATTAGTAAATTTTCACCATGACACTAATGGGATACAATGTGTGTGTGTGTGCATTGATAAAACCTAGGACACTTTGTTATCCAGAAACTGTATACTTTTGGCGCCATTTAATTAGATGTCTAAACTTCTTATGCAAGTCAACTCAGTTATGAAGGCATATGGAAAACATGAAATACTTCTTGAGAAAAGATGGGGAAAAAATGGATAATTCCTTTCAAGAATGGAATGCCAGTCATAAGTCTCATGTTTTATACATCTAAGTCATTTCTTTCATCTAAGGTAAGGTTCACTTGAAGCTAATCGAAGTAATTGAAACTTCTAACTTTAAAGACTTAGTAGGGAGACGTGACAGGATATAATCTTTGAGGAAAAATTGGGTAAACTGGAGTATCTGTTTCGTGTAGACTGAAAGTTAAACCGACTAAAGGCCTTTCCTTGAACAGGTTTGCAGGAAGACAAGTACTAATCGTTTATCCAGGACTGAAATTACATAACCAGGAAAACAAATAATTCATATGCAACGGTTGTTTGGTTTCGAGTACCCAGTAGGATTTTCAAAGCTATATTTCTGTGCGAAAGTTTGCTTCCCTTTCTGATGTAATTGACACCAGTATATTGTGACTATATTTCTTTGCGAAATTTTTAACCTTGGCCATCAAAATCAAATGAAACACTTTTCAGTTTTGAGGGTGCTATTCGAAATTGGTTTCATTAGAAATGCCGTTGGTTAAGTTAAACCCCTAATTTCTCAGTGAAATGAGAACTGTTAATATCCATCAAGACAAATGTAATGGGATGCAGGAAGAAGGAATTAAAAGTTCAGTTTAAAGGTAGGGAACTATGCAATACATCGGAATAAGGAAGGATGAATAGTCATGGTTTTTATATTTGTTAAGAGAAATCAAGAGCCTAAAAGTTATGCTGTGCTTGCCGCTCTGACTTGGAATTTTATATTGTTTCTGATTTCCACAACAGAAGCAATAAAAAGCATGCACCCTTTTGGATGTTTGTTTTAATTAGGTATGTCACACAAAATAATCGGCCTGTGGTTTCATTCTTCTGATTAGTTACATGTTAGTAGATTGTTCTTACAGTAAACACATTTTTGCTAAACCGTAATAGTCAGTTTGGTCACAGCTAAAAAATACTGTCCCTTAATGAAACTTTAACGTATGTGACCACATAGAAATAAGTTAATATTCAAAAAAAACGAGAACGGGGAACTGATATTATTTTGGAAATATTTCACCTACACTAACATCGTTTTATATAATCTAATAATATGTCATATTTGCTTGTATTTTTGAACAGTCCTTGGAAAGATTTCAAAAGTTGCGTGAGTCCTGGATGTTCGACTTACGCATATCATTCTTCAGATTAATATAAAAATTTTTTTGAATTAAGCAAGTATTGTCGCTTCCTGGCTTCTAGGGTTATACATGCAGAGTTAATCCTTTTTAGACGATGCTGATCGACTCTTCTTTTTCACGACCATGTATGAACGGTCTCGTTCTACTTACTTCACTTACGACTACCCTCTAAGCGAGTTAGTTTTCATTCTGAACACATCAGTTTGCACTAAAACTGCTTATGTCAACTAGGCCCCTTCATCCTTCAGTAATTTGCTTGCATGCATGATGAGACATATTTCAAAATCCTCTCCAACATCATTTGTTCACTAGAGAACTTCACGTTTCTATTCATCCTGTTTTTCTGTTATTTCGTTTTCGATTTTGCAGTTATCCAGTATCATGGAAGTTGCCTGTGAAATCGAAATGATCAAAGATCCTGAGACACGCAAATCTAATATCACTTATGTAGCAAGACATATCGAAGATGCATTGACTTCACAACGTGAATACCGCTCTGGCTGTGGTGTTCGCTTTAAGCACTGTTTAGCTAGAAGTTGCTGTTTATGGTTTGGTAAACGATATGGAAATTATTTGATTTGCCTATATTTAATTACAAAATCACTGTACATATTTAACGTCGTTGGACAGTTTTTTTCTACTGAATAAAATCCTGGGGGCAAATTATACATTCTACGGCTTGGATTTACTACGTGATATAAGTGAAGGTTATGTTTGGCAAGAATCCGGGAATTTTCCTCGAATCACACTTTGTGATTTTGAAGTACGCAAAGTAGCCAATAAGCACAGACATACAGTTCAGTGTGTACTACCAATCAACATGTTCAATGAGAAAATCTTTATATTTCTATGGTTCTGGTTTATCTTGGTAGCTGCTGTGAATACAAGTAGTTTTTTGTACTGGTCATACAAATCAAGTTTTCGTGGCACAAGAGTACAGTTCATCAGAAAATTTTTAAAACTACGTGATGCACTGGAACCAGGTGATAAGAAAAAAACATTGGCATTTGTGGATTCATACTTAAGACAAGATGGTGTATTTATTTTAAGGCTAACAGCACAAAATGCTGGTGAACTGGTTGCTGCTGAGATTGTCGAAAGACTGTGGCATATATACAGAGGACACCAAAATGTGGTGAGTACGACTCCTTCTCAACCAGCTTCCCATTCATTTATGCAACAGACACAAGTACCGCAGCATCAAAAGTCACACCGTTACTCACATCACCATTACCGTCAACGTTCAAGTACAGCTTCCAGTAACAACTATCGTGCTAGTCGATCCCTCACACCACTGAGCCCTTCGGAGTCATCAGAAGCTAAGAGAAGGCCACCTCCTAGTTATCCATCCTATGAGTTACGGCCAAAACCGATAACTTCAGAAGGTAAGCAGCTTCCACCTCCTCTTCCACCACTGTTACGACCTTCGGCTCCGCCGCCACTTCCTCCTCCACCTCCAGTAACAACAATCAGTGGGGGTTTGGATGGTGTAAGCAATTCAATTACCACTCATAGCCAAGCATCAACAGTTACTGAGAACACTGACCAGTCTGTAAGAATGAGGCCAAAAATCTCTGGAAGTATTGGATTTGAAAGCTTAAGAACTTCAGCAAGTCGCCAGTCAGATTCTAAAACTAGCCAGGATTTACGTAGGGGACCACCTTATACAGGTGACAGCTCAATTTTGGGCACTACTACCGTTAGAACCAACAATTCTACTCAAAAACAGCAGATAAATAATCGGAACTCACACATTAGAAATCAAGCAGAAGAAGATCCCGGGGAATTTGTTTGATATTTCGTCAGCCTTACGGCCACTGCTGACTCAAGTAAAGAACTAAATCTCGAAGTCCAGAAACTCTGCAGTCTGTGATTTGTGTATAATTCCAACCAACACTATTCCATTATACTGCAAACATTCGTCAGCTAGCTTAGCTGTTCAGCATTTAGTTTAAATGGGTATAAGTCGAAAGCTGTTTAATACAGGAAAGAGGAGCCTTGGCTTTGTGTTTCAATTTTTCTGTCGTCGAAAGCGCCACTTGGATTCATTTTCGAAATCAGTTCACTCTTATGCATACAGCTGTATTTTTATGTTGATATTCTTTTCGAAGTAAGCCCAATATATATTGACAAATGGGCAAAATTTCGTGCTGTGTTTATATATGACTGATTACATGTCCAGCGATAATGTGCATTAATTATACATGTATGCCTTTCTAGAATATTATCAGGTATACCTAGTTTTCAAATTGCTGTGACCTATTACTTCTATCTCGATATTCTAAAACTTTGTGTATACTACATATATATAAGTATGAATGTGGTAGTTATCTTCCACTGTTCACTCTATCCAAAGACATACCCAAAAGAAAAATTCTAGGTGGATACCCTAGAGACCCTGGTCTGCGTTTTTATATAGAGATGATGAAAAAATATACTTTCTTTCAACAAAATAATGAAATGTTTGTGAGACTGTTGTGGATAAATTTCCTGTAAACTATATAATCATTATACGACTGTCACAGATTTTCATTTCAAAAGGAAAATGTACTTTCTACCTGTTTTT